GTGGCCGTCGGCGGCGGCCGCAAGGGGGGGAAGCTGGGAGAGCAGATGAAACACTGCGACGCCATCTTGAAGGAGATGCTGTCCAAAAAGCACGCCGCCTACGCGTGGCCCTTCTACAAGCCCGTCGACGCAGAGGCACTCGAGCTGCACGACTACCACGACATCATCAAGCACCCCATGGACCTCAGCACCGTCAGGGTAACCGCCGTTTGCCATTCGTCCTTTTTACAACAAGCGCTGGTGATTGTGAAAATAAATGTGCACGGTCGCTCGAATGTACACTTGACAGTGAACAGGGCAGTGCGTTTCTTGCGTGCACTCATGGAGGCCGCCAATACCAGCCATGGATATTCGGGCGAAAAAAAATAACAAAAATCTGACGCGTAACCCCATGGACCTCAGCACCGTCAGGGTAACCGCCGTTTGCCATTCGTCCTTTTTACAACAAGCGCTGGTGATTGTGAAAATAAATGTGCACGGTCGCTCGAATGTACACTTGACAGTGAACAGGGCAGTGCGTTTCTTGCGTGCACTCATGGAGGCCGCCAATACCAGCCATGGATATTCGGGCGAAAAAAAATAACAAAAATCTGACGCGTATGGGCGCCATGGTTTTCAACTTCTTGTTGACGGAGTTGACCGGAGCCACACACGTTGCCACTTCAGTGCGCCGCCACTGCACACCAAAAGACGAGATGAGAGAACGCTGACGCCGTCACCTGAAGCTTGCTCAGCGCCCTCCTTTCTGCGTGCGCATCACCGAAATAACTTCAAGCTCCGGCATTTTCAAATCTACCCCCACAGTTGTTGTGTAATTTATTTTATTTATTTTAAATTTTTATTCTGTGTCGTGTAAATTGTGCTTCGGCCGTGCTGAAAGGCAGCGTGTAACGCGGCGGCGCTTTTGTTGCAGAAAAAGATGGACAAAGGCGAGTACTGCGACCCACAGAGCTTCGCCACCGACGTCAGGTTAATGTTCTCCAACTGCTACAAGTACAACCCCCCCGACCACGAGGTGGTGGCCATGGCACGCAAGCTACAGGTAACATCGCCCGCCGGCCGCATTGCAACTTGTTCAAACGCGGCCGCAGCGACAAAGAGAATACTGAGTAGAGTTCATTCATGAACTTTATACGCAGTCATTTAACATCATGTTTTTTTTTTTTGTTTTAATTTATGAAAATCCAGATTTGCTCCCCGCAGAATCACAGTTGTTCTCCGTGAAATCAACACTTTCTCTGCGGATTCTTGGGGAGGGGGGCGTGACTTAACTTGAGTTATTATTTTTAGGACTTGTGACTTGCTTGCCAGAAACTTGGAACGACTCGACTTTGGACTTTGTTTCAAAGTGACTTGACTTTGACTTGAACCGCATGACTTGCAAGTCATCTTGTGGATTTTAACACAGATTGCCTTTTTAAAAAGGTGAGTAAGAAAGAGGAGGGAAAAAAAAAATTTTTGTTTCATTCGCATCAACCTGGCAAGCTCGTCAATGTGAACCTAAACACCAACTATTTGGCGGACTAGCGCGGGGGGGGCACCGTAAACGAGCGTCGGCCGCACGGCGCTCTTCCAAACGGCGAGCTGTGATTTTTGCGGCAAATAAGCTTCCAAGTGGGCGTCGGCATGCTTGTCCAAGTTCCCGACGGCGCGGGCTCGGTAGCGGCTGTCGGGCTGATGGCCGGCATCTCGCGGCAGGATGTGTTCGAGATGCGCTTCGCCAAGATCCCGGACGAAGGCGTGGAGGCGTCGGCACCGTCCACGACGCCATTGGTTAGTAAAAGCACGGCCTCGTCCGACAGCAGCAACAACTCCTCCTCAGACGAGTCGTCCGACTCAGAGGAGGAGCGCGCCACGCGGTTGGCTGAGCTACAGGAGCAGGTTGGTGCTGCCGGCCAATCCCAGGTCAAGAACATTCTACTTGTCTCCTCCTCGAGCTAGCGCACGTTTCGGTCCGCTCGCCGCGGACGCTAACGAGCTTTTCCCTCCAGCTGAAGGCTGTGCACGAGCAGCTGGCCGTCCTGTCGCAGGCGCCCGTCAGCAAGCCCAAGAAGAAGAAGGAGAAGAAGGACAAGGACAAGAAGAAGGACAAGGCCGACAAGGCGGCCGCCAAGGCCAAGCCCGACGACGACAAGAAGCCCAAGGCCGCCGCCCAGCAGCCCAAGGCGGCCAATCAGAAGAAGGCGCCGGCGCGCAAAGCCAACAGCACCGTCGCCGCTGCCAGGTGAGCGAGCGCTTTACGTCCGCAGCAATGTCGCCAACTGCACAGAACGAGTGCTTCAAAAGTCTCCGCAATAAATACTGTCAGTGTTGGGCAAAATGGAAAAAAATGTCATATGCCACTCCGTCCCCCCACAGACAAGCCAAGAAAGGCACCAAGGCGGCGGGGGGAGGCTCGGCCAACGGCGACGACGGGGGCGGAGGCGGCGAGGAGTCGTCTTCCCTGCCAATGTCGTACGACGAGAAACGCCAGCTGAGTCTGGATATCAACCGCCTGCCCGGAGAGAAGCTGGGCCGCGTGGTGCACATCATCCAATCCAGGGAACCTTCCCTGAGGGACTCCAACCCAGACGAGATCGAGATCGACTTTGAGACTCTCAAGCCGTCCACGCTCCGAGAACTCGAGCGCTACGTCAAATCGTGCCTGCAGAAGAAGCAGAGGAAGCTCTTGCGTGAGTCGCACCCGCACAAACACAAACGAACATCACGTGACGAACCAGCTTACTCGACGACTGCGACTGGCTGTCTCAAACGGAGATGAACGATGTTCCTCTATCGACCCCTTTTCCACCAAAACAAACTTGGTGCTCGTTTGGCCCCAGGGCCAGTGCTGTGCTTAGTTGGTGCTTAAAACCAAGAACGTGTTTGGTGTTCCACCGGCAAAGATCCAAGTGAGAGCCACGTCATTGTGCGGCTTGGCAGAGATGAACCCCGCCCCAAACACATGAGCGTGTCGGGGAGCGCACGTGACTTATATGAGGCGCCTCGCACTGGCCGGGTGTGTCGGGGCTCGTCTCGTTTGTCTGCTCGCAACCTTATGTCTGCCGTTTGCGCGACCGCTCCGTTCTCATCGAGGCGACGCGTGAGAGACAATTGTCGGCAGAAGTGACACGACGCTTCGCGCGTGGCGCCGTTTGATGGAGACGCGACTGCAGACGACGTCGCATCATTGGCGCGCGACACATCAATTCAAGCGGGATCCCATTTGCGAGGCAGACAAAAGCAACGATGTTTGTACTCCATTGTGATTGGGCCATCGAAAGCTCACCCCTCTCTCATGAGCGCGTGTTGCGCATTAAATGAAGTGACTCCTAAATTTAGCGTGAACATGTTGTGTGATGCTGAATCCAAAACTAGAGTAGAAGCATCCGAAGGTTTTTTTTTTCTCCTTTGTGACTGCAAAGCTGAACGACAGGTGTGCTTGCTTCAATGGCGCAATGAAGGCGTTTTGCCATCAAATCCAGAAAAAGACACTCCGCAAAATTGACAAATTCAAGGAACGATAAAAGGGACCCGTGGCATCAAGTTAGTCCCATTTTTCATTAACGAGCTCACCTCTTGTTATTGTTTGCGCAAGAAAATGGAACTGCCATTCATTTGGAATCATCTCCATCGGTTTGGGAGCAATGAAATGATTTTTTTTCTTGTCTTACACTCTTGACACAAACCATCGGAAAAGGACTCGCTTGTCTCGTTTGAAGTCTGCAATTTGGCCCGTGGAAGCTGTTCGTCGCGTGCGGTCACCATGACGACGACTGCCACCAAGCGACTCGATGCAACCTCTCGCCGTCGACACCACGTTGGGAACTCAACATTTGTTCTTTTCTTTCTAGAGAAGCAAGCTGGAGGCGGGGCCTCAGGAGGCGGGGCTAGTCGTTTGAGTGGCAGCTCGTCTTCCTCGTCTGACGACAGCTCCTCGACGGGAACGTCCTCTTCCTCAGACACAGACTGAACACACACCGACATGCACACACCTTCTGGACTTGTTACACACACACACACACACACACACACACACACACACACGTACGTATATAAATATATAAATATATACATTCAAGTACACATACACACACACACCCTGATGTATGTACATAAGCTCAGCTGTTTTTTTAGCATCTAGTCTTCTGTTTTTGTTTTTTGAATTTTGTTCTTTGTTTGTGGAGGAAAAGAAAAACTCGACACGCTTGCCGTGAAAAGAATGGGACAAATGTGTCGGCCTCACGGGGGGGTGTCACTGTTTTTAGGGGCGGCGCAGTGTTTCTTTGACAGACGTTCCTAGCCAACGAAAACATTTCGTGACATTGCCGCTTGCCCCACCTTTCCACCAACACTACATGTCTCACTTCCTGTCGGGAGACCCGCCTCTCGCCGAATAATGTTGCGAGGGGGAAACAAGTTTTTAAAATTTGAAATTTTACGTTCTTAATCTGTCTTGTTTGGCCGCCCCCCCGTGATGACATCATCGATGTCGTCGTCCGGTCGGTCAGGCCCTGCGGCTGGTGTGCGATGGACGTGCGGGCGAGTTTGTTTTTAGTTGCTCTACTAGTTAATTTTTTTTTTTTTTTAATTTTACTAAGAAAAAGGAAAAGAGTGATTTGATGTGTTTGCATGCACTCCGTCGGGCCGTACGTCAGCACTGTATAGTAGCTTCTCGTCAAGTAGCTTCTTGTGTAGTCGTCGTGCTACACGCGTGTGCTACACGCCAACACACGAGAAGCCAGAAGAAAAAAAAAAAGTCATTTGGTGTAATTACTGATATGGGATCCTTATTTTCTGACTTCCTTTCTTTTCATAAATAAACAGATAAAGTGACCTTGGCCTGGCTCACTCTGCCCTCATTTTTGCCCGTTTCTAGCGTGAGCATGCTCACGTGCCCAAAGAATGGGAAAAGATTGGATTTCTTGGATACATCGATTCAAACATTGAGTATGCCGCATGTAAGTGAATTAAAATGTCGGGACGTAGAACCTTTTCACACACTGGTGATGATGGAGCCATGCCGCTGTCATGTGGGCAAGGAGAGCAACGGTCACAATGCAGCTATAGATGTTTACTGAACAGGACAAAGGGTGAAAAACACAAATGCAAAATGACAACACTCTCAAGGAGATGCCGAGTGTTACAAATTGCTTATTACATGTTTTTTTAAAGGTGATCCAAAACCTAAAGTAACATCAGGGATCTCCCAATAAAAGAATCAAGTGAAATAAATGGAGTGATTCACTTTACTACTTGATCAAATGTAGCAAGCTGCCAGGTCGGGGGAAAAGTAAAATGCCTTCCCTCAGGTAATACATGCATCAGTCCGCTAATTAGGAGGGGCAGGCCTCAGAGATGACCTTTTTTTGGGGTGCCAGTCCAGCCCTCCTTGGATCAGACAGTGATTAGGGGCTAGTATTCGACTCCCAGTTCCAGAATCTAGTCGTAGGCTGGAATCATTGAGCATTTCCAGGTCCCGAATGACTCCAAACGATTAATGAACACTGATGACTGCAGAGGGATTGTACAGGAGATATCTGGGTTGGCTGTGTGACAAGCTCTCCGGAGCACTACATGAGCGCGCAGATCCTGGAGCGTCCCTGCTCGTCGTCTAGGCGGCTCTTGTCGGGGACAACCACGGCGCTGTTGCCGTAGCTGCTGTACCAGGCCGACTGACTGCGGCTGAGGTAGGAGGACGGCTGCTGGGGTACCGCCGCCTGCTGCTGCCGCCACACCAGCAACGACGTGTCCAGGTAGCGCAAGCGGGCGAACGGCTCGGACAAGGCCTTGGAGGCCAAGGGGGGCAATGGAGCCAGGGGACCGCTGCCGCCAACGGCGCCGCCAACGGGCGCAGCGGAGGCGGAGTCCTCTAGCTCGGGCCCAGCTGAGGACGACATGCGGATGACATCCCGAGGAAAAGAACAGGCAGAAGCAGCAGCTTCCACAATGCTGAGCTTCGACTCAACTCCACGTGACGCTCCCACGAGTGGGAGGACCCGCCACGGCGCACGTTGCCATGGCGACGCACCTGACCCCGGTACACTTGACTCCTGTTGAGCGTTCAGAAATTTCCCAAAGTCCACGAATGGACGCGAGCTCTCCGTTAGCCCCCCGGCTAACGGCTGATGCTCACGCTGCTGACCATCGCGGCAAGTCCAAACTTTTCAAGCACACGCTCGTTAGCTGCGGTTAGCGTTAGCGAGGCAATATGTGGTGGATTCTTTGATCCAAATGGGACAAAATATGTGATTAGATTTCGATCAATATCACACTTCAGCCTCTTCGCTTGTTAGCCGGACAGCGCGTCTCTGCTTTGAGGGTCGGGTAGAAACAAGCGACGTGTTCGTCAAATGTTCTACCGATTGACGCTGGGCTGGACTACAGTACATTAATATCATAAAATCATTTACTCAAAGTATTGTAAATTAGAAAGTCTTCGCCAATTTCATCAATACCTTTAATTGCTCGTTTAGATAAGTAATTAAAAAAATCTGAACTCTGAGCTCGTTTGTCTCCCCAAGTTGTTGACTCGTTGGAGGTGTCGGATGAACGGAAATTGCTATATCCTGGAGCATGTGTCCGTCACACCTGCGAATACTCTACAAACCAAATCCCTTTCTGTAGAAAAAAAGTGTTGATATTATTTGAAATCTGTGTAATATTTGATCCCAAATAGTCGATTTGATGTGACGTCACCACGTGACGGTTTTCAGTGCATCAAAATTCCAGTTTTTGACCCTTCCCTAAAAACGTGAAACGTTGAATGAAATGTAATCCTCGTCAACTGTTTTATTTAGAAATGGGCAACTGGGGCCTCTCCCCGACACTTGATTGATATCTGAAAATAGAAATGTTTAAAGTTACGCAGCGATGCAAATATGTAATACCAGTTTAAACCACGGGATGGCAGACATTGCTCACCAGCGCCTCCAAGCCCGAGGCAGCAATTGCGGACTCTGTAAATGAATTGGGTATCAATTGTCTCTCGTAGTCGAAGCCACAGGGCAGCCATTTTACGTGCTACCACTGCATTGACAACTTATGTTGTTGTTGTTTTTCGCTGAAAACACTGTTATAAGTGCGTGTTTTATGCTGAGATCCGTGTATGGAGGAATGAGGGCCTCTAAAAGGTCGGACATCACTGTTTGCCTTGACCATTCAGAGGATATTATCTCAGTGTCGATGAATTTTACGGACGGAAGTTAGGTTTACATTTCGCTGTGAAGTTTGTCTCGATGGGCTTTGATTTCATTTCATTGTTAATGGTTCTGACAACATGATGGAGACCAATCTTTGAGTAGGACTCATAGACAACCCTTTTAAGAGACAATTTAAAATGATGATGATGATGATGATAATTTGAACATGGTGATGATGACAAAGATGAGAATGGTCGCGAAGATGATGAAAATGATGACAATTTTGTTGATGACGAGAGTGACTATGATGAAGGTGATGATGAAGATGAAGCTGATGGCGATGAGTTGACTCCTCACTTGTGTCCCACTTTATGGACCCTCCCCCATGGCTTATACACACGCGCACGCTCACACGCACGCACGTATACAAAGGGACCGCGTGGACTTGTGGCCTGGGGTCCGAAGCTCCTCCGCTGCGCGCGTGTCGCTGCGACTGGACGTGTGCTCGCTGAAGATGTCACACGCGGGCCACGCCCACCAGCGGGCGCTTTTGCGTTCCCACGTCAGGTCAAATGACATGTCAAAGCGGCCTCCCAGGCTTGCTGCCCGCGGTGTGCCGGGAGGGGCGGGAGGCTTGTTACCACGGCAACCGCAGCGGGGAGCCCAGAGCGGCCGCTTCCGTCCCGGCATCGCCGTCGTAACTATCGACACGCAGCGCAATGACTCATTTATGACTTGTTGAAAAGATACTCGATACACGTGTCCGGGACAACATGCATGGATGCGTGCATCCTTGCTATCGTGCCTGTGGTCGTGTACATATAACACAAGCACTGCAGTCTCTTTTATTATTACAGTATTTCATCCAAAAGAAGCTAGTACAAGATGCTACTGCATCTGCAAACATGCATTAATGCTACGTTTAGATTATGCTGTATACCAGCAAGACAAACAGTAGCTATACATATAATTTTTCATTTTTAATATTTATCAATATATTTCATCCCCCTCTGCCATCCCTTGTTTTTCCAATATCATTTCATACAAAATGCATATCAAGGTTTCCTACGATGATTTATTTGGGTGTTTTTTTTAAGCAATCCGCCGCTTGCTGGTTTTTACAATGCACGATGATCTTTCATTTGCTTTCTCGGACACACCAACAACAGCGACAAAAATTTCGAATGGCCTTTAAAAGATTACAAACAGCTTTTCGCGGGACTCAGGCTCGGTGTGTGTGTGCGTGCGCGCGCGCGCGTGTGTGTGTGTGTGCGTGTGTGTGTGTGTGTGTGTGTGTGTGTGTGTGTGT